AGATCTACATAAATTTTAAGTAGTAAGTTTTCTTCATCAAACCTTTAGATCCGCTGCGCATAGGTTTATGTTGAATGTTTATCTGTGATTTGTGCATATCGAGATCCTCATATGTCCCAACAGCTCCTTTCATTTATTTTGGGTTGTTGAATCTCAACTAACTCTGCCTTCTCTCTACTTTCTCTCTCTGAAGCTGTAAGAAAAATCTTTGTAAAAAACTGTAAGTATATAACAAGCGTCGACCTCGTACGAAAGGCCGACCTCGTGATCGCCTAATAAAATCGTAATTAAACCATTTCTTTCCTTTATTTTCAGTCCCGCATTTTCGCTATTTCTCATTTTAACCGTTGACCGAAAACGTTCGTCAACAGTTTGGCGCTAGAAGGATGGCCCCATAAGTTATTTGGTTTCAATTATTCGATCTTGTGAAACCCCATATACTTATCTCTTTCCACCTACCTCGAACATCGTCCGAAATGGCCTCATCCAGTCACGACGAGTCAACCCAGCAGTCCGGCGCCCAGTCTCGTCGGCGCAACGGCGAAGAGACCTCTCGCCACAACCAGCAAGGGACCCAAGCTCTTGTCCCTCCTGTCACGACTTTTGCTGCAGTCATGCAGTATCCCGACGTCCTCAAAGCCCTGGAAGGAGTCTTCGCCAAGGCCCTTGCTAGCCAGGCACCTGGCAGAAACACCGTGGCAGCCACGGAGAACCCCGACAACACTCTGATCCAGACCCCCGACAAGGAGGCCGGGGGGCAGAAGAAGAAAAAACCTGCCAAGTCCAAGACAAAGACTCAGTCCCCCAACCGCGCCGCCCTAGAACGACGCGAGAAATGCGCAAGGCCGGCGCCCACCGAGTAGACTGGCAAAAGCCAGCCAGACCGGAGCCTGCAGGTCATATGTCGCTCTGTATACCAGCGCCTAGGCAACAAGACCCAGGCCAACCGCGACCTCAGGGACGTCATCGAGCGAGGTAAAACCATTGGGCGCAACGCAGACGAGGTCGAGGCCCTCAAACGCAGAATTGCCGAACTGGAAGGTCGGCGCTCTCCTCAGGGAGGAACGTCACCGCCTCACTATTCGCGGCCCGCTCCTCGGGTCGTGGATCACGCTTCACCTC